CTAGCATATACATGATTTAAACTTGTTGAAACCTCTAATAATCGTGCGTAATTAACATATGCCATACATCAATTGATTTATATGGATAATCAATACATCCAAAATAGTTTACATCGTGTACACAATAATTACGGCACGTACTTTCTCCTCACTATTGTTCCCTCCTTGTGATCGCTGCGTGAGTAAGGGGTGTCTTCATTTGATAGGAGGATGCTAGGGTCAATCGTCACCGTGAAAGGGGGTTGCCCATCCAACTGATCGTAATCCTCGTCAGTCTTGTCCTCAACTCCGACGATTTTTCTTTTGCCTGGGAGAACCACTTGACGCTTAGGCTCATCAGGCCCTCTGCCCTTCTTTCCTTTGCTAGACATGTCCTTCACGAAAAAGACTTGCGTTACATCATTGGCAAGGACAAAAGGTTCGTCCGAGTATCCAACCTTGTTAAGGTCAACAGTTGTCATCCCACTGTCATCAATCATTACGCCTCCACCAGTCAACCTAACCCATTGGCACCGGAACAGAGGAACCTTGAGAGGACCATAGTCAAGTTCCCATATGTCCTCGATGGCACCGTAATACGTGGCAGTTGTTCCATCGTGTCCCATGGCATCGACACGAACAGCACTGTTTTGGTTCGTGCTCTTCATGTCTTGGGCTCTCGTGTAGAATGTGTACCCATTGATCTCATATCCCTGGAATGTCGCGATCGACCCAAACGGTCCCCTCGCCAGGAAGGCAAGTTGTTGGTTGATCGACTCGTTACCCATGAGATGTTGTCATAGCCACGCGGGGAAAGTATCAATGTGATGCCGTGTAATCCATGCATCGGACTTACCGATGTTCCTTGCGCGAACTAGAGCCAAGTGCTCATCGATGTAAGGAGCTACCAATGAAGAGTGTTGCAGAACAGTGAAATGGGCTTTACGGAATAAATTGTTGTCTACCGTCGTTATTGCTTTCCTTCCGAGAGTTCCCTTTCCCCGTAGTCTCCCTTCATGACGTGATTCAGGTACCCCGATTGGGCGAAGGTCTTCGATAAATTCTACGCAAAATTCGATGACCTCCTCTGTTCCATAACCCTTGGCGATGCTTGCCTCTGGACGAGCACGGTTACGAACATACTTCTTCAGAACGCCCATGTACCTCTCGAAAGGAAACATGTTGTGTAGGTACATAGGCCCGAGAATACGGATCTCTTTCACAAGGTGACAAAGCAGATGCGTCATTATATTGAAAAATGAAGGTGGAAATATCAACTCAAAACTGACGAGACATTGCACCACTTCATTCTGAAGGGCTTCTAATCTATCCGGATCGATGACCTTCTGCGAAATTGCGTTCATGAATGCACATATCTTTGTTATTGTTGCCCGGACATTGTCTGGAAGGATACCCCTTATTACAACTGGTAGCAGTTGTGTCATCAACACGTGACAGTCATGAGACTTTAGGTTTGTGAACTTCTTCTCCTTCGTGCTTATTATTCGCTTGATATTCGTGGAGTATCCAGACGGTACCTTTATGCTCTCCAAGCATTCAAACATACTTTCCTTCTCTGCCTTGCTAAGAGTGTAGCTGGCTGGACTCAAGTAATGGCTTCCTTTCTCCTTTGGTTCCGGGTGAAGGTCGCCGCGTTGTTCCATATGCTTCAGATCATTACGTGCTTCCAGTGTATCTTTCGACTTTCCGTATACACCTAGGAAGCCAAGAAGGTTTACGCAAAGGTTCTTAGTGAGGTGCATCACGTCGATTGCGTGGTGTACGTCCAAGAATTCCCAATATGGTAACTCCCAAAATATAGAGTTCTTTTTCCACATCGCCGCGTGACCATCTTCGCTCTCTATATGCTGGCTTCCAGGCCCCTTTCCGAACACTACTTTAAGATCTTTAACCATAGCAAACACTGTTTTTCCGCTGCGATGTTTAGGCTTCGTACGGTGGTCGGCCTTATGTTCGAAGTGCTTGCCTTTCTTCCGTACCGGGTGGTTTGCTGCAAGGAATCGACGATGACCCATGTATACAACCTTCCTACAGTGCTTAAGATACGTACTTTCTGTTTCATCCATACAGTGAGTGCAAGCCTTGTACCCCTTGTTGGACTGTCCGGATAGGTTGCTAAGTGCAGGCCAATCGTTGATGGTTACGAACAGCAGCGCTCGTAGGTTAAACTCCTCCTGTTTGTCCTCGTCCCACACGGGGACACCTTCCTTCTTCCACAACTGTTTAAGATCTTCGACCAGTGGTCTTAGGTACACGTCGATGTCGTTACCAGGTTGCTTGGGGCCTTGAATAATAATCGGCATCATTATGTACTTCCTCTTCATGCATAGCCAGGGGGGAGGTTGTAGATACACATCGTAACGGGCCAAGTGCTATGGCCGCTGCTCATCTCTCCAAAAGGATTCATGCCATCCGTACTCAAACCAAACCGTATGTTTCGTGCGTCCTTTCCAAATTCTTTAAATTTTCTGTCGATGTTTCGCCACTGCGAACCATCGGCGGGGTGTCTCAGCATCCCGTCCTGTTGACGCTCTTCAGCGTGCCATCGCAACATTCTAGCATTTCCCTTGTTCCTGAACAAACGCCTTAGCCGTGGTATTATAGGGAAATACCACATCACCTTAGCAGGAATTCTCTTCTTTGTTAGCTGCCCGTCAACTTCTCCTGGATCGTCCCGTCTAATCTTGTATCGTAGTGCTTTGCAAACAGGGCATGCTTCTAGGTTCTCATACTCCTCACCGCGATATAGGATACAATCGTTCGGACATGCGTGAATCTTATGAACTTCCAGTCCTAACGGGCAGACTATCTTCTTAGCCTCGTACGTTGTCTCGGGCAATTTGTTTCCCCCCGGAAGAATGTTCTTAATGAGTTTCAATAAATCGCCAAATGCCTTGTCACTAACCCTATTTTTTGCCTTCCATTGCAACAACTCCAGAGTGGTATCCAACTTTTTGTGCCCCTGCTCGCAACCTGGGTACAACGAAGTTCTGTGGTCCTCCAACATCTTGTCCAATTTATGGGCCTCCTTTTCACTTTCGCAGTCCTCCCTAGCGTCCTGCAACATCTGACCAAGATCATCCGCAACGTCGTTACCATCAGCAGCTATTTCCTCCTCGCCCGTTTGATTTCCTTCAAATCCAACATACTGAGCAAAGTCCGGAATATTGTCGTCTTCCACTTCATCTTCTTCCATTTCAACACCTTGCTCTCCGTGGGATGTCCAACAATTATAGCTTGGCATGAACCCCGACTCAAACAAGTGGAAATGAATAGTCCTGGATGCAGAATACTCCTTCTGATTCTTACACTTATTGCATGGACAACAAATAAAACCCCTTTGCCTGTTAGCTTCGGCCACTCTCAAAAAATAGTGCACGCCGTCAATAAACTCTTTGGACCGCCGGTCAGCGTACATCCATTGCCGATTCATCTACATGAGTCAAAAAAACCGCACACAAATAATTATTCTTACAATAATGACAGTCATACAATAATTATAAGATATCTTTATTCATACAAAAATCATAAAATATTACACCAAATAATTCTTAAAAACTATTTGTAAAGTTTTAAACTAATTTTAATGTGTTTTACTTCTTTTAATTTTCATTTTAGTTTGTTTTCTATTATTTAAGATTAACTTTCACTAGAGTTTTCCTTCTCAACTATTTTATAAAACCTTGTTTAGCAAATGAACTAAATTTCTATATATTCTTTCTTCCCCACACACATTTTCTCTCTCATCAACTTACAACTAAATTTTGGAGACAAAAAAAAGTGTGCAAAACATAGGTGCAAATGTAGTATGACAAAAAAAACATTGGAGGATGAAGTTGCAAACCTTTTAGGCACCTCCGATTTGTATGTAATCACCAAAATAAATTCAATAGAAATTTTGGCATGACCTCCCCTCTTTTTTGAAGTAATTTTGAAGCTTGCTCGGGCAGCTGGAGGAGGAAGAAGACATATATATAGGGGTGGGACTTTAGTCCCGGTTGGTAGCACCAACCGGGGCTAAAGATCACCGGGATCTTTAGCCCCGGTTGATAATACCAACCGGGACTAAAGTTAAGATCTTTAGTCCCAGTTGGTGTTACCAACCGGGACTAAAGATCCCGGGGGGGCCTGACAGGTCCTGACAGCATTCGAACCGGGGCTAAAGATGATTTTTAGTCCCGGTTGGTAACACAAACCGGGACTAAAGATCAAATATGCCCGTTACCCTTTTGAACCGGGACTAAAGATCATCTTTAGCCCCGGTTTTTATTGCATCCGGGACTATTGTGGAAATCGGCCGACCGACGAAAGATGGTTTCTCCACCAGTACGTCTCGGTGGAAGTTGACAATTTTTCTAGAGAAAAAGGAAACATAATGCTGATTCCATCCTGAGATCACGATTAATTCCTCTTCTTTTTCGTTACATAATGCTGATTTTGTGCCATGCGCATTAGTAAGGATGCATGCAATGAGGTGTTTTTATACGAAGAAATTGTTTGGTTTGTCCTCGAGATTAGAGAGCTCAACTCAACTGCAGCTGCGGCCGCTTAGTAGTTATTTCCTCTATCCCAAAATAATCCCAAGACACCATGCACATATTCTTCCACATAAATGTATGTATCGATTAAAACATCAAACCAATTACATCTTAATATGCACATATTATTCCATGATGCATTAATTGTATACGATGATTAATTTAAGAAATTTTGGATTCCACTGATTAATTTGGAAAATTTGGAAAGGAGGGAGTATTAGATAGGCGCGCGAATATGGAATTCTTTTGTTTCTTTATCAAATAAACAAAGTAGTAGTATTATAGTGTTAATTTGTTTTTTGCCTTTTTAATTTGCAGGGTCTTGCAATCGGTATGGAAATCGGCTTTGTGGCTTTCAGCACCATGATGGATTGCCCCGGCCCTACTATCCTTGCCATCTTGGTAAGGATACTGGTTTTGGCAGTCAATTCCATTGCACCGCTTACAATCTTCATGCAGACGTTTGATGAGTTTGATGATTGCTAGTATTTGTACGAGCACTTTTGACAATCCTTCGGAGGACGATCTAAGTACTGTAACAAGAGTATCTATTCCTCTTTTTGGAGGATGATCTAAACAGTAACAGAAGTATCTATTTATCTTTCCTACAATGATCGGTGTCATATATTTTTTTTCTTTTCTCTGAGCTTTATCTGAAATTGCTTCCTCTTTTACTCCCCTTCTTGCACTCCTTTACTCCCCCTTCTCGAACTCTTCTCCAGCCGCACTCTTTTACTTCCCTTCCGCACCCTTCTCGTAACCTCCTCGGAACTCTGTCAGTTGTGTTTTGTGGGTGTAGGATTTCCAGAAAAAAGGCACTGCAAAACAAATACAGAAACAGTTAGTCACTTGGTCACAAAGGTATAAAATGAGTACTACTACTGTCTACTGCTAGTCTTACCCTTAGCCAAGCACACCCATGGCCAAAAACAATGGCAGCCAGGAAAAAAGCTATCATCCAAATACTGCCGGCGCCTAACGACGTCCAAACATGACTAACACGGATAAAGCAAGCACACTTAAGTTCCCAAGATATCTTGCAACCTGAACGTCAGAATCAGCCGTTGCATTCATGGATAGAAGTAACCCCGCCGCAGCCGAGAAAAATATGGCACCATATGAATAACCCAGCAAAGCAGAATAGCCTTGGGAAATGTGTTTTTCCAGCAAGGGTAACACCGCCAACGATGCTGGCATAGAAAATGTGAAAAATGTAGTCCATTTGTCCCGAAGTGTCTCCTGCAAATAGCAAATTAATGCATTAACCAGTGCAATTGACAATAGTAATATTTGATCACTTCCTTGTACGTAAAAATTTCTTAGTGCATCTGCAACAATCAATGTTTTATGCGTGTCTCCCTCAATCTAAAAGTCTAAGTCCTATTTATGGTGGTCACATCAGATACATGGACACACATTATAGATTCCGCTAAAAAACTACGAAACGAATTTATTAAGCCTAATTAATCCATCATTAGCAAATATTTATTATAGCACCACATTATCAAATCATGGCGCAATTAGGCTTAAAAGATTCGTCTTACAATTTATGTGTGAACTATGTAATTAGTTTTTTTTATCCACATCTAACACTCCATACGTGTATCTAAACATTCGATATTATGGATGAAAAGTTTTGTTTCCGAAACTAAACAGTGCCTACTACTGCATTTGCAACACATAACACATGCATTAACACCAGAGCACATCAATCAAAGCGACATTTACAAGAACACATCAATCAAAACAAGGGACATATCAGTATATACCTGCTTCTCGTCGACGGCGCGGCGAGGTTGTGACGTGGAGCAGCCGCCGGACGGTGAAGTGCAGCTCCCGAACAGCCACGGGCAGAGACAACTCCGGTCTGCGCACTGTTCGCATCCGGGCAACACGTCCTGATCAGTAAACTTGGCGCCAGCCGCATCCTCGCGAGCTTGGTCTTCAACGTCATGGATAAGCTGCAGAATACGTGCTGCGAGATCTCTTGATTCGCCGGCTAACTCTTCGCTGGCTTTTGGATTGTCAGCGGCGACGAGCAGAGTTGAAGCGGCATTCTTCACATTTGCAGCGGCTTCCTCTAAGCCGTTCGACCCCTCGACGATCTTCTCAGCTAAAATAGACATGCTGTGTGCAAGGTGGTCGGCCGGTGCCGCCAAACTCACTTGGCTATTCGTGAGAGAGGTCGCTAATCTTGTCGAAGAAGATAGTAGGTCCGTGAACGCGAGAGCGTGCGCGTCGGGCGGTGGCGGCGGCGACGCGGATGCAGTGTCTGATGCCTTGGAGCAGGCGAGCACGAGAGCGTGCAGGGCTGCGTACGCCTCGGGTGGCATGGGCGGCGCTGACGCGGAGGCGGTGTTCGAGGCCTTGGAGCATGCGAGCATGAGGGAGTGCAGGGCCGCGTACGCCTCGGGTGGCATGGGAGGTGATGCCGAGGCACTGTCCGAGGTCTTGGAGCACGCGAGTATCAGAGCATGGATCGCCGCGTACGCGTCGGGTGGCATGGACTTGAACGCTGTGGCGGCGTCGGAGGCCGCCGTGAACGGGAGCACGGGAGCATTGGGTGACGCGGACTTGGGCGCCGAGTAGGTGCCGGAGGCGTCGTGGCGAAGCAGTGACGCGGACTTGGGCGCCGAGTCGGTGCTGGAGGCGGAGGCGGAGGCGTCGTCGCGAACCGTGGACGTGGGCTCGGACTTGGACGTGGAGGCGTCGCTGCGAACCGTGGACGCGGGCGCGGTGACGGGAACGCCCATGACACCTCGAGCGCGTGCGCGACGCGTGGTAGCTGCTGTCGATGTCGGCGTCGCTAGTGTGCATCTCCTCCATGCCGCCAGTGCGAAGGAGGAGTCGTCATCACCTCGATCGCGAGCGCGACGCCTGGTAGCTGCTGTCGCCGTCGCTGGTGCACATCCCCTCCATGCCGGCATTGCGAAGAAGGAGTCGTCGTCGTCGTCGCCATCGTCCCTGCGTAGCCACCTCCGCACCAATTCACCCCATGAGCGCAACGAGTAGAACTCGCCGCCGTCGTCCTCGACTCTTCTCTGGTTCGCCGCCGCCTCCACCTCGTCCTTGTGGTTGGAGCCCAGCGCGGGGTCGGCGGGTGGTCGGCGCCCGGAGTCGCCATCGTCGCCGTGCCCCCCCGCGCTCGCCATCTTCAACGATGGGGAGGAGACCGAGAGCTTGTCCTGATTTGGGGGGAGATAATTTGGATTTGGAGGGGAGAGGATCAGAGGAGAGGAGGGAGGGGTTCAAATAGGGGCGGCGCGATGCGGCGAGCCGGCGCCGTCGCGGAGCCGAGGCGAGGCGGCGTCGCGTTGAGCCGTTACGCGTGTTTTTTTTTTTTTTTCATTCTTCTTCTATTTTTTATTTATTTTTTAATGTCTAGTGGGCAAGTGGGCAACGACGAGTCCAGCCAGAATCCCATCCCCTTTCAGCCCTCGTCGCCGCGGCGGCGGGCCGCGCCGTCGTCCACCGCTGCTGGCGAGGGGGCGGCGGATGAGGCAGGGTGGTCCAGATCACGGGGCCTCCACTCCATCGTCTCCCAATCCCTCCCGGAGCGCGCTCCCCGCAGCCGCAGCCGCCGATGTGGCGGCCCGGCGCTCGCCATGGTCGTGATGAACTTGTCGCATCAGATCTGAGCTAGTCTGTTGAACAACATGTTCTCTTCAGAAACCGATCTGTTTTTCTGTTAATGACCTCTGTGCTGTTCAATCTTCTGCAGCTCAAATTGGAGGTGACGAATCATACGACTCATCTGTTCCTACAGCAAGAAATCCATTGCACGCACAGATTGAGGTTAGCTGCTCAATTGCCTTATGTTGTGGAAATGGACAGTAGATGCTTGCTCCTAGTAAGTCCTAGAAATGATCAAACTAAAATAGCATAGGATATACCAGATGGATAACTAAATGGAAATCACAAGTTATCTGTGTGAACTGTCCTGTAAAAACCACTGAGCAATAAAATATAATTTGGTTACTAAAGGATAATTGCTAATATTGGATTACATCTCCGGAACTGGGCTGCTGAACATATCTCATTTGAACACCATGTATTACCTTGTGGCTTGCGCAGTGCTGATGAACAACCCAATGCTATTTTTTTTGATTGATGAACAATGGAGTTGAGTGACGCTAGAGATGTGTGTTTGTTGATTGTGTATGTGTTGTCCGTGAAATGCTGCTGAATTCTGTTTTGAAGTGCTGATGACCTTTGTGCTCAAATGCTTGCTGAAATGATGCTATATATATTGACATACCATATGTGCTGAAGTGCAATATTGTCATTGATATGCTGAAATACTGCCATATGCTGCTATGTGTTGAAACACTGCTGATGTAGTAGCCAGTTGATTTACTAGCCGTTGTGATATGGAGAGTGTGATGAAGTGTGTAGGAAACTTTTGCATTGTTTACCCATCACTGTGGCCATCAGATAGCTGCAAAGAATCACTTGACGTCAGTAACAACTTCTCATTCGGAATTATTGATGGCATTCTTTCAGGTGATACATAATATACCTTTTTTTCTGACAAAAATGAAATATACAAATTTGACTATATACATGTTATTTCAAAATATTATTTGATCTTTGGGGTTTGTGCACGTATGGAAAGAAATCGGTAATTCATAAACTTGGCAGCACATATAAATACATAATGGCAGAAAACAGTGATTATCTTATTCAAACCGTCTAACATAGTTGCTCTGTTATTTTTCAGATTTTAGCAAAGTTTTTAAGTTCAAATCTGTCCATTTAGGAGGTGATGAAGTTAACACAAGTAAGCAGAAGTCTTGTATATATATTTTCTTGTGGTATACACACTCTGACTGTATATATCATTCCATTTATTATTATTGTGTACTTTCAGGCTGCTGTACTGCAATACCCCATATTAAGAAATGGTACAAACAGGGGAACTAGGCTCCATCGATCCGGTTCTTCATGTGGTTGGCAATCAAAGGCCATTGTTTGACGGCAGATAACTTGCAAATGAAAGGGTGGCCAAATCAGCATGACTGTTTGCAATATCAACAGATGCATGAGACCTGCAAGTGCTTGTTGGTCGAGTGTGCTTACAAGAATCGAGTGTGGCGATACAAGATCAGACCATTTGAGGACTGGTGACTGTCGACGAGGCCGGCGTTCGAGAAGCAATTAAGAAAAGCTTTTGATTCGCTGTGTTTTATGTTAAGCTGTCTAGTTTGGAAGGAGAGGAGATGCTAGAATTTTCGACCAACGAGTGAAATCTACCTTGCAGCTGCTTGGGGAAGTCAAAGAGGAGATCATGCTCTGGAGAGAAGCTGGAGTGTTCATGAATCCTTAGGAGTAGTTTGCAGCCCTAGCGAGTACCAGCTGCTGCTGGCATGTTTCTCATCAGGTCTCGGCAGAGGCTCGTTGCTTTTCTTGTATCTAACTTTGTAACATTATGTATACATCTTATTTCAACTTAGTACAATTGGTTGGCCGCTTTTTTAATTCGGCCAACCCAGCCAAAATGTGTCCGATGCATACATATATTCTGTATTGAGATCCCAAAAGACAGAAATATCACACGGTTATGATGCCATCAACTGGTATGTCTTTTGGTTGCAGTCGTTGCAGATTTAACAGGTTTTAAGGAGTAGTTCTCAACTATTAACAAACAACATGTTATGCTTGCAGGGAGGAAATATTTAACAACTTTGGATACAAGTTGGACCATAGAGCCGTGGTTCATAACTGGTATTTCCTCACTTCCTGTTTGATTTATGACGTTAATGAGTAGGGCATTGCTGGAAATCGGCATAATAATTGTCCTAGCTAAGAAACAATGTATTTCAGTGTTAAATATGTCATAAGAAAAAAAAATGGGAATTACATCCAGTTGTCTTTGTAATTCATGCTCACAGTAAGAGAATTTATCAACAATTATCAACTTGCTATTACTGTTACCAACAAGTATTAACTTGTATATCTTGCTCATAAACTAACAGGCTTCACGTAGAACCAAAAGTGGTTGCTTGCAAGGCCGAGATGCATAGTAAATTAAGCAGCAGTAACTGTAGAAATGAACACTGGATGTCTCGTTATCGATTTCTCGATCTCTCCACGAACAAAGACGAGGAGAGGTCCCCTCCTGCATGGAACAAACCAAAAAAGAGAGAGAGAGAGAGAGAGAAAGAAACAGATATCTAGAACGAAAGTGAGAGGAAGAGAATCAGATCGATGTATACCGGTATGTACCCAAAAAAAAAATCCTAGATATTGTTTGTTTTCCTCTGTTGTTGATAATGTGCCGTTTTGACTGACTCCTGTTGCTGCAGATCCGAGAAACGGACGCGAAATCCTCTTCGGTTTTTGTATACTCATCCACTGGTAGCTGTTCATCCGCCGCTGCAGAGGGCAAGTCAACAAGGCCACACACCCCAACCCCCACTTGCAGCTCCAGTGCGGGCCCCACAAAACCACACGAGCGGCAAGACGGTGGGCCCACCGCTTTTCGATAGTGGGCCCACCTGGTTTTGTTTGCGTGGGCGTATTCCATCTCCGTCGTCCTGCATGCACCGCCCATGCCGCCCTGGGCCCACCGCTCAGCGAGAGAGTTCTGCGCCTTTCGTCCTGGACCGCGCCCACGGACTCGCTGGTCGGCGCCGCATCTGCACACGTGGCGATCTTCCATTGGCTGGGGCGTCGGAGTCGGCTGACTCTTCCTGCTTGGCGTGAGTGCGTCACTTTTTTCGGTTCTTTTCCCAAATGGTCTTGGCTCTCCCACACGGTCACGCAGTTTCACTGACGTGTGGGTCCCACTTCTGGTGGGGACACGTGTCAGCCTCACCAGTGCTTGGACGCGTGAGGAGGTCGCCTTATATAGGAAGGCTTTGAAGCCATGGAGAGAGTGGTAAGTGGTAACTGGCGACGCGGTGGTGCCGTGGTGGTGGTGGTGCAGCTTCTCTCCTCTTCTGAATCTTCTCGACTTCTCGTCCTCCCTGTTGCAGAGGCTTCTCCGGCGAGGCCGCGAGGCTTGATTTCAGGTGAGCAAGCGGCTGTGATTTGTGTTTTTCGCCTTTTGCTTTTGAGTTTTCTTCTGCCCTGTTAAATCCCTTCTCTTGATGTGTGTGAGGAGCTGAACTGTAATTCAGTCAGTTCAGATATGTTTGTGATTTATAGGTTTCTGACCCATGCCGTGATGTTTGTTCTGCTTGAGAATACTTGGAAGTTCAGAACCATCCTCAGAATTCAGAAAGGGCTTTGCTCTTTTCGCTAGATGCTTCTTTAAGCGTCGATTCGTCATTTATGCATGCTTTAGCTCTTGTTCTTTTTTTTTCTCTCTCTTTTATCTCGGATAATTTCACACAATCGCAGATTCTTTGGAGCAAAAAGGAAGAAACATATTTGCTCTTGGATTTGTTTCTTGGAAGTATCGCACAACTAGGATCCAACATCAAAGCAATTTATTTAATATATAACTACATCACTTTTTACTCTGTTTCCTGTTCTGTTCATTTTTGTCCCACTGAACCTGGCTTGAACAAAAAGCTACTATCACTTTTTGCTGAAGTTGTGTTTTGAGCAAACTATTTTCTTTGCTTTCATTAGTGCATAGTTGATGGCATGTCTTGAGCTGGATTCTTCACAATTCCTACTGAATGGGGATGGCAGTGTGATCGGCAGCCCATTTGATATCCAGCTTGAGTGCAATAGCTTCACAGGCTCCAAAGCTGTTCAAGATCATAGCCGATATACTCTTCCTTCACAGTGCACTAATGCCCCTGATCCACCTCCATTACCCGGAACTTCTTATGGCACACACAGAACTTCCAGGAATGCAAAGGCTTGCAGGTGTGTCCCTGAAGAGATCCAGGATTTCTGGGACAGGATGTTCTTCGAAGCGTATCAATATGATCTCCGTGTTTTGACGGAAGATGGCAATGAGATCATGTCACATTCCTGCGTTGTTGTAAGTAAAGTTTTCTGAATTTTTTTCCCAATAACAGGGCATCACATAATCATATATGACTGAAACATAGGCAGGTTTTGTCCTGTGTAAGGGCTTAACTGCTTCCTCTTCTGCAGGGTATTAAATCTCCTGTTCTAAGAGCTATGTTGGAAGAAGCTAAAGTACAAGGTGGCATCCGACACATCCTGATACCTGGTGTACCATCAGAAGCAGTACATGTTTTCATCAGATTTCTTTATTCCTCGCGGTATGATATACTTTGTCATCTTGCTTTTCATTGTAGCTTATTCCTTAGATAACTTCTTTGTTGTTGTTAAAAGGTTGAAATGTTCAGACTAGTAGCTTTTGTGATATACAGAGTTAGTTATAGTCTTGTAGATAAGATCACTTTTTGTCTGAACTCTGAACCATTTTTCAGCAAATGATACTGAAATTAATGCTGACTGGTTTCATCTGTGAAATGTATTGATTGAAAACCTTGTCACTTGTGCTTTTATTTGTTGAAGTTTTGAGCAGTATCAGATGAAGAGGTATGTACTTCATCTGCTTGTACTCTCCCACGTTTTCTCAGTACCATCTCTGAAGAGAGTCTGCATCAACCAACTGGAGACATCTTTGCTTTCTCCTGAGAACGTGGTAGACATACTACAACTTGCTAGACTGTGCGACGCGCCGCGGCTCTCCCTCGTATGCACTCGTATGATCATCGGAGATTTCAAGGCTATCACTCAAACAGAAGGGTGGAGAGTGATGAGACAAGCCAACCCAAGCCTGGAGCAGGAGCTGCTTGAGTCCCTCGTCGAAGAAGATACAGTGAGTAATTCTCTGAAATGAAGTTTATACATAGTATCGCTTAATCGCAACTCCACCTAGTTTTGTCAAATTTTCCACATCATTTTCTTTTGTTTTCATATCAAAGATCAATCTCTCATTATTGTGTATATTGTCACTATTCATGATATTTGTTTTGAAATCTGAACTGATGCAGAAAAGGCAAGAGAGAGCAAGAAGGCTGGAGGAGAATAAGGTTTATCTGCAGCTACATGAAGCTATGGAAGCTCTTATTCATATATGTCGAGATGGATGCAGGACAATTGGCCCTCGAGATCAAACGCTAAAGAGCAGTCAGGCCGTTTGCAGGTTTCCTGCCTGCAAGGGCATCGAGCTGCTCCTGCGCCATTTCTCGGCGTGCAAAATGCGGGTGCCTGGTGGCTGCGCTAACTGCAAGCGCATATGGCAGCTTCTTGAGCTGCATTCTCGCATGTGCTCTGCACTTGAAACTTGCCATGTTCCCCTCTGTAGGTGAGCACTTCTGTTTGCTGCACATTGTTCTGTGTTTCTGTTGCATTCTTTGACATTCTTTTGGTCACTGTGACCCAGCATATCTAGTTATCTACTCTGACCATGCTACTTGTTCAGCATTTCTGCTCTGAATTTTTGTGCTGTTTTACTCCTACAGGCATTTCAAGGAGAAAATGCAACATCTGAGCAGAAAGGAGGAGGCCAAGTGGAATCTTTTGGTGTCCAAGGTGTTGGAGAGCAAAGCAACAACCAGTTCCATCTCAGAAAGGAGAAAATTTCCATCCCTGAAAACATAGTGCTACGTTCTAGGTTCACAAGTTACAAGAATTATGCACTAACACATAAACTCGATGTAAACTGTGAACATTTGTTGTACTGAAGATTAAAAGGTGTCTCAATTCTAACATGACAATCTGAAGAAAGGAGAAATGAGAAAAACTTCCATCTCGAGAGAAGCTTAATTATCTTAGCCTAGACTGGGGAATTTTGCACCCGGCGGTTGCCTTCGTGTTCTCCGTGATCGCAGCAAACGACCATTGCGAGCCCACAAGCGAAGCATGCGGCAATCACCAGGAGAGTTATAGGCAAGAACAGCAATACATTGGTTGGACTAGGATATGTATCATAGAACATGATGAGGAAGAATTCAGTTATCCATAAGAGGCCAATGACGACTAGGAAAGCCTGCGGCAACAGTAGAGTAGGGTCAAAATACAGAGCCACATGATAAGCCGTTGAAAAGTGAACGAAGGAACCCAAAGAATTCATAGGTAAAACTTTCATATCTGTGTTATTTGTGGTTTAAAAGCAATAGTGAAAAAATAGACTAAGATTAAAAAACTTTAAAATTAACTATAAAATTAAGTTTCAAAATTCAAAATCTGGTTGTGGTTGTAAGAGCATCCGCAATGTGTGAATTAACAGGGGTACTAAGAGAATCTTTTCACCATAGCACAAGCTCCATACATTGCAGGCGGCGGTATCAGGTCCTAGCCCTAACAAATCGGCCCTTCCCGTGAGGACGGGCACTCCAAATAAAATAACACTTCTTTTTTACAATGTTGCAGGCAAAATAATGAGAGCACCGACAGGGAAGAGAAAAAAATGAAATAATTATATGGTTGTGGGTCCCATTTTAGAGTTGGGAGGGCTCCATATATTGTACAGATCTTTTCATTGCTTTATCCATACTATGTGGACCTCACCTTAATACCCATACGGAATTATACATTGAATTCTCTAACAAGCAGACATAAGAGGCATTGGGTACAACGATCGCAATTTATACTTCATGGTCAAATATCTGTTACGTTTTGAACAAGATTTGGCAAAATTTTCTATACTTTGACTATCAATGACTTAAAAATATGTTCAGTCAAAAAAATGACTGAGAATACGAAAAATATATATAATAATACAATGCTTCCATGATCTATTAATAAGCAAGGATCGATCGGTATATGTAAATCTGTAAACGAATTGTCCTTACTGAATGCCCACTCACTACATTTTGAACAAGATCCGGGTAAAATTTCTATACCTTTTACTTTTACCGTGAAATAAACTTTTGATACTTTGACTATCAATGACTAAAATTATGAAAAAAAATATAATGCTTATGTAATCATTTATCAAGGATCAATCGATATATGTATGTAAACGTAGTGTCCTTACCGTTGCGAATATCCTGCAGGACGCGAACGTGGAGGGGCGTCGTCGGCGTCGTCTCGGCGGCTCCTTGGGCAGCGGGTAACCGGCGGCGGCCGGCGGCGCCCCGCCGCCGCGCTGGACCGGCGGATGGCCGCCGACGACCACCCTGCCGTCGACGTGGGCCATGGCTTCCTCGCCGCGGCGGTAGTGTACTACTCGATCCGCACGGCGCGGGGGTTCGGTGAGAGTGTGAGACGAGTCGACGCGCGCGCGAGGAGGCTGCGTACGCGAGATCGGGGCTTGTTTTTTAGATGGGAAAAATGCCGAGATGAGCGAGAGAAATGCACTTGGCTAGGCGAGTGCATATGTAGTCAAAAGAGATGCCACGCATGATCTTTTTTTTGCCGCATTAGCAGACCGGATAAAAATGATACTACCCCGTTTCATATGTAGGTCAGTTTGACTTTTTTTCATATTCAAACTTATTTAAGAGGTTATTTGTAGCGCCCGTTCCGTCGTGGCGCCTAGCGGGAAAATTATCTCTAAAAACCCTAATTGCGAAATTTGTTTCCTTGCTTGTTGTCTAGTGTCCGTGCCATCCCGGATCTCAATCCCCGATCTATCGTCGAGTCCAATTCCGAATCCAAATCCTTCCAAATCAAATCCCTCCGCAAAAGTCTATTTTGCCTCCCCCGGGGTCGATGGGCCGAATTTCTCTCGGCCCATCTTCCCCTCTCCCCCGGCCCTCTCCTCTCCCCCGGCGCGCTCCCGCTTTCTCTCTCTCTCTCTCTCTCGCCCCCTCCCCTCCCCCGGCGCGCTCCCTCTCCCCCTCTCCCTCCGCTCCGCTCCGCCCCGCCCGCGCGCCGCGCGCGCGAGTGCGCGAGCGCCGCGCCGAGCACCCCCTCCCTTTCCCCTCGCTCTGCCCGCGCGTGCGCAAGCGCCGCGCCGAGCGCCCCATCCCCTCGCTCTCCTTCTCCTCTCCCTGGCGAGCTCCCCGCTCGCGAAGACGGCCCCCGCGCGCCGTCGTTCGCGCGCGCGCCCGCGTGGTTCCCCGCCCGAGCCGCGTCGTCTGCGCCGTCCGCGTCGCCCGGCCCCGCTGCTCTGCCGCGCCTGCAGCCGCTCGGCCCCGCGATCCAGCGCGCGTGCCCAGCCGCGCCGCCCGTTGTTTCCCGCGCGCGCGTGCCGAGTGGCCGACCGCCTGGTCGCCGCCGCCGTCACCCTCTGCCGCGCCAGCCCGCGCCTGTCGCCCGTGACGTCGCGCCGCTCCAAACCGCCCCGCCGTCATCGCCGTCGTCATTGCCTCGGCCCCGCCACTCCCGCGCTAGCCTCCAAGGGACGGAGGCAGAGCCTCCCTCCTCCCTCTGCCGCGACGCCCCCGCTACCTCCTCCTTTTCCCGAAGAGGCAAGGGGACAAGCCCCCTTTTCTCTCCCTCTTTTCCCCTTTTTCCCTCCCGCCGGCGTCATCCTCCTCCCTCCTCCCTGTCGCCGCTTTGGCCGCGACCGCCGAGCGCTAGCCCTCTCCTTTGACCGCCCTAAGTCGGTTCCCAAACCGACATTGCCATCCTATAAACCCGAGCTCCCCCCCCCTTTTTCCTTTCCTCTCCCATTCACCTCCGCGCCATTGCCGCCCCTCTGTTTCGCCGTCGCCGTTCGTCGTTGCGCGTGTCGGAGGAGCCGGCACGAGCAAGGACGCGGAAGGGGACTTCGGCCGCGCCCTCTCCTTCCTCTTCCCCGGCCCGAGGCCGGAGAGATTACTCCCGCGCCGTCGGCCTCCCGTCACAGCGCCCCTCCTCACCTCGGTGATGCCTCCCTCCGTTCTTCCTCCTCGCTCCATCTCCCCCCCTTAGTTTTCGGTGGTAGCACGAGTAGCCTCCCCGTAGCTAGCCGGCGCCGCCCCGACCGTTGCCGTCGCCCGCCGTGTGCTCGCCGCCGTCGCCGCTCGAGCTCCGTAGCACCCGCTCGTCGCCAGCCTCGCTCGGCGTAGCTCCGCCCAATCCGACGCTAGCATCGGATTCCCGTGGCCGCGTAGGTGCTCTCACCGCCGGGAATCGGCCCCTCGTGACCTCGTCGCCGTTTCCCTCTTCCCTCCCTGCCGGTTGCCGCCGCCGCGATTCGCCGCCGTCAAGCTTCCTCCGGCGAATCCGAGCCGTTGGCTCGTCTCCCCTCGTCTCGTGCAACCACCCGGTGTGCTCGTTTTCGCCGGTATCGCTGTGGTCCGCTCCGCCGCTCGCCGCTGTTGTCCGCCGTCCGTTCCGGCCGGCGTCGTCGTCTACCTCCCGCCAGCCCACGTGGCAGCCACGTAGGCGCCACGTCGGCGCCAGCTCAGCCGAGGTCGGGACGGGCCGACCCCGGTCAGCCCCTCCCGTGCGCGCGTTCCACCGCGAGCCGTGAGGCTGCGCGTGGGCCCGCCGCATCCGTTCCTCCGCAGACCGCGCGCGTGCACCGCGTCCCTCCCCCGCCCGCGCGCGTGCGCCGCGTGCTCCCTCCGCACGGTGAGCCGAGCCGCTGACAAGCGGGTCCCACCCGGGACCGCGCACGGTGAGCCCGATCCACCGGCCCACTCTCTCCTTCCCTCCCGCGCGCGCGCGCTTGGGTCGTCTTGGGCCGGCCGGCCCATTTAGCTCGGCCGGACCGCCCCATCTCTCTCGGGCCGCGCCCTAGCCGCCCGAGGAAAAGTCTAATTTCCATCCCTCTTTTCTTTTCTTTTCTTTTCTTTTCCAAAAAGGATTTAATTAAATCCTTTTCCTTTAGACCAAAAATCCAATAATCTTAGAAATTCAATATCTTCCCAATCGTAAATCCGTTTGACTCCGTTCAACTTCCAAAATTCCTCAAATCTCGAGATCTATCTAATGGCATGCTTAGAGGTCATTAATAGGGCTTTATTTTTGCCGTTTGTTGAGTTGCCCCGTTTCGCGTGTAGTTTCGGAGCCCGAAGACCTGCAGTGCGAGGATTTCGAGGATCAAGCTCCAGATCTCGAGCAAGGCAAGCCACCTTTGAACATCTTGAGCCTATATTTGAAATTTAATTATGTTGCTTGCAAAATATTATGCATTGATAGGATCGCACTTAATCTGTTGTCCCGTCTGCAAGGCAGATTGGCGGACCTACCTAACTTGTTGCATTTGATCCTACCATTGTTAATTGCTATACCATGTCCCCTTGTAACCATCCAGTTGCGCCTCGATATTCGTGCACTCTGTGCGAGTATCGACGGTCGCCTTCAAACTTAAAATCTGAGTAACAATTTGGGTAAAACTGGAGCTTTACAAAAGACTTGGAAAACCCGACACCTGGGTCGGCGCTTGCGAACTAAATGAATTTCCAAAACCGCGGACCAGGGAACGTACCGGGTATACGGTTTTTCCCGCTCTCGCACTTAAGGACCGATTCCTTGGAATTTCATCCAAACATAAGACAAGTACGACCACATGGGTGGAATGGGACACCCCTGGCTGAGTAACTAGCTTATCAGGGGAGCCTTGATGTCGAGAGACATGTGGATTCGCCGGGGTGGTGTCGGGGAGGACCCCTGGGCTTCCTGGCACAGTATGGTCTGGGACCTAACCTGTTGTTGGTCTGGGACCCCTCTCGTCGGCATATGGTAAACCTGTATCGGCTTTGGAAATGCCTTGTCATGAAAGCTTGGAGGTCTCCCGACGTGGCTGATCCCCACGGGCTGGGTGATCCGGGTTAGTAATGTCGTGTGGGTAAAGTGTACCCCCTCTGCAGAGGTTAACAAACTGTTCGAACAGCCGTGCCCACGGTCATGGGCGGATGTGAGGTGATTCCTAACGTAGTTTGTTTAACTACTGCTTGTGAAATTGCTGTTGTGGAAAGGGGTTCGATGTTTGAAAAATCTGCAGCTGATGGGATCAGCTAGGCCCGGGTGGCCGTTTGAAAGTTGTAGGCCCGGGTAGCCGTTTGAAAAGCTGTTGGCCGGGTGCCAACCTTGTTTTAAATTTTAAAGACTGATACATTGCACATACTCCGACCGGACGAGACGCACTGTCTCATCCGTGTCGTTTGAGAAGCACTCACTTAGTTGTTTTTAGAAAAGAGTTCAACTAAAATCAATTGCAAAAACAACAGCCTTTCCTTGAAGCCTGCATTAAACACTTATTTCCCATGGCTTGCTGAGTACTCCCGTACTCACCCTTGCTCTATATAAATAATCCCCCCAGTTGCTGAAGAAGATGAAGCGGATCCTGCTGATGAGGAGTTCTTCCAGGAGCAAGCCGGCTACGATGAGTTTTAGGGTTTCGGCCTAGTTCCCAAGTCGCGCCTGTGTTGTTTGATCCAAGTCCTGCTTCCGTTTCCCTTTTGTAATGCAGTTGTGAGCTCGGGATCTGTCCGCAGCCCAACATGACTGTACTCCTACTCTATAATAAAGAGACCGCTGTTGCTGTGATATTCTGTCTCCCTGTGATACCAGCACTGTTTCCTGGGACTGGTATCGATCAACAGGTTAATTTGGAGTGTCACGGGCTAGTTCCGGTCGGTACTAGTTCGGGGCGTGACATTATTCAGATTAATGACATTTTAAATTATATTGGTAAAGTTATCAAATATATGCATCCATTTAGTTTTTTACAAACTCTATAAATACATAAGAAATCCTACCAAAACTTGGCAATATTGTTAAATTGCTAAAATTTAATAAGGTTTATTTTGGCTACAATCTGAACAGACCCTAAATTTGATTAAGTTTATAAAAAAAAGTTAGTAACATTTTCAATACAAAACAAACATATTATCAAAATACTGTGTTCGGCAGCAGGAGATTGTGAGAAAAATTGTTTTGTTTTATGCGCGCACGCTTTCCCGAACTACTAAATGGTGTATGTTTTGCAAAAATTTTCTATATGGAAGTTGATTCAAAAAATCATATTAATCCATTTTGAAGTTTAAAATAGTTTATACTCAATTAATTATAATCTAATGGCTCATCTTATTTTGCGTATCTTCTCGATCTTCTCTTTTCCACTCCTCTAAAACTCACTTATAATATGCAAATGAAAAATTTTCACTAAACCCAAATGCTAGCAATATTTTCCCAAGAAAATGGTAAAAACACTTTATTTCAGTCAACAAACTCCATGTTCTACAAGAGTACAAAAGATAAGTCCATACCAAACAGATCCTAAATACACGAGGGAAGCATGAAGTAATGAACGGAGATAATCATCCTAACCTATTATACAACGGAATCATCAAAAAATAAATCCAACGGAGAGAACCATCAAAAACACATTTAAAGGAAAACCGTGCCTGAGAGAAGCACAAAATACACCAACATCTGAACGACCAGGCTGCATTTCGTCCACTGGGCACAGAAAACTCTCCCGCTTGCGCTGCCAGAGCTTGACGCCGACGCCGTCGTCGTCGTGCTCCTTCCGCCGTTCCCGTCGCTGCCGCTCTCGCCGCCGACTCCGCCCGACTGATCACTCTTGCCCTTCCCTTCTCCGCCGCCCTCGTGGTCCTCATGGCCCTCGTCGCCGTCACCTGCAGATTGGCACACACATGCGCGACGATGACACATCAGCTATAACCCATCGTTTCATTTATTCGTGGAATAAGTCAAACAGCATATTCATAAACGAAAAATAATTTGTGATTAAAACTTTTATATACGTATTATTACCAATTTAAAAGCAAAAGCTAAAAAATAAATTTCGATGAAAAAACTTAAAATCAACTTCAAATTTAAAGTTGAAAATTGAATTTTGGCTAATAATCATAAGGATAAGAGAAAAGACTAGGAACGATCGAAGCAGAGAATTTGTCATTGTGGCGTACCGCCGCCGCCGGTAGCGGGCGTCCCGCTGCCGCCGCCGCCGCTGGTGCCGCCCGAGAGGGAGATGGTGCCGGCTGCCATGTCCTTGTGCTGCGCGAGGAGGCCGCTGGGCCCCGGCAGGGTTCCGGCGGGGCCGACGGCGTAGATGACGTTGGTGAGCGGTTGGCCGGAGAGCTGGAACGCGAGGTAGAGCCTGGAGCCCTTGGACACGATGGTGGGCGCCGCCGCGCCGCGCGACAGCGACAGCTTCCCCTGGTCCGGCGGACACAACGACGACGTCGTCCCGCCGAGGTAGTACTGCCTCGCCGTGCCGGCGGCGCCCGGCGTGGCCCACCCGGCCACCGCGCTGCCCCCCACCATCTTCCCGTTCGGCGAGAACCCGACGGCGATGTACCCGCCGCTGTCCGGCGCCGACAGCACGAAGTTCCACACGCTGTTGCTTCCCGCCGACGACGCGTCCTTCCCGAACTGCAACGCATCGCCATTGATGACGTCGAGCGAGCGAAACCAATGCAGCTAGCAACAAGGACGAACGATGTCGAAGCAAGCTTACCCGGAGGATGAAGCCCTGCGAGCTCCATGCTTGGAAGCAGTTGAGGCCGGTGGTGTTGAAGGAGATGAGGTTGCCGAGGCTGAGCGCGGCGGTGCACGAGTCCGACGTCGTCTGCGAGCTCACCAGCAGCAGCGAGCTCGATCCGACGAAGCAGAGCACCAGCAGCAGATGGTGCCATTGTCGCATGGCTCGATCCATTGCCATAGTGCCAAACTGAATGTGGATCGAGAACTATGCGTACGGACTTGGATGATTTGATCGACGAGAAGAATGGTTTCAGTTAAATAGGCAAATTAGCGTGTGTTCTGACTTGGGGTTGGTACGTGAGCATCTGACCTTAGTAATAGAATAGAGTGGCTTCTAGTTCTCTTCTGAAAAATTAAATGATAAATACGGTGGCTTCTAGTTGGTTACGGTCCGGCCATGTTATCCTCCTAGGTTTGTTTGGTGTTGACTAAAATGAGCCGATTAAGCTACACGTGAGTCGATCCATTTGTGCGTAAGAGAATACGTACAAGTGACACCAAGTTTGTCCTCCAGATAATCTTGTAAGATTCAGATGGAATACTGATTAGGATAGATTATGCTTGGATATTCTAGTAGGAGAAATAAAGAATGTGTCTCTACTGAAGGTGTAATTTTTTTAAAAAAAATCAGGCAATTACATTACCCGACTTTTTGAAGAAACAAAAAAACAGGTATCTTTGCATAGTCTTGTCAGATAAAACAAAAAGGGAAAGAAAACAGAAATAACAGGAAAACATAAACAGAGGCAGAAGGACCAGCTTTCCAATCCAGTACTCTCGTCCATCCACAAGCTACATCTCAACTTTTCTGAACTCGACTTCCTAAGAAAACATAAGCTAAAAATATTCCATAACCTAGCAGATATCACAAAACAGCATTCCAGCTATAGATAGCCATAAGGCCTGAGGCCCGACGGCCCAGCCCACAGAACGACATGACTAGTGTTGAGCCCGTGCCAGCCCGGCCTGACGATTGGGCCGTGCCTAAGCCGATGTCCAGGCACGGTTGGCCGGCTCGGCATGGCATGGTCAAAGAAAAATAGTTGAGGGATTGAAAATAGACTTAATATAGCCTTATAAGACACTGCCACAACCCAAAGAGATGAGGGAGGAAAATTAGACTTATTCTATGGAGAAGCACAATAGGCTATCGTTCCTTTAGGCTGGCCCGGCCGAGTCTTACTGGGCCGTGCCTAGGCCGTGGGTGCAACCCATGGGCTGGCACAGCCCAGCATGTAGGTCAGGCCATGCCGACCCGACTGACCTCAGCCCAGGCCCAGTCGTGCCTAGGTGGGGCCATGCCGGGCCGGGCGGCCCATTTAAACATCTATAATTTCAGCTAACCAAACCAAGACATGAAACACATCTTCTGATAACTAGTGAGAACCTAAGAATCTGAATTTTAGTTTGTTTTCTAAACTATGTAGTTATAAATTCCTCTTTTTCTATATCTCATGGCACGTGTCCTTGCCAGCCAACAATACATGAAATGTTTTATCTTTAATTCTCTATCCCTTATCGCCAAGCTTCAAAAGTGTATATATGGATTTAATTGTAAAAAATCCTCTCTCATCATGGGGTCAGATCATTTTATCTGGGTTCATCTTTTAGGATTACATATATTAATTTCTCACATCTCCAAATCTTGTTTATCTTCCTTTGATAAATTTCTTCTAAACTCTAATTCCACTCTTCCTTCAATATACAGTTCCTTCACCGTAGCTTCTTGATGCAAATAAACATTACTATATAATTGGGCGGCTGCGTAGTGGGTGCCGCTTCGGGCTGTTTCAGGCAAGCAACAGCAAGATGCCATAGCGGCGTAAACACCATGGCAGCTGGAGAAAATCCACTTTCCTAACAGTGTTAGCCCTCGCTGTGAGTCTAATCATAAGTATGCTAGGTTCTGACTATTTTTTATGGCAAATGTGTAATTACACTTTTATTAATAGCAAATCCGCTATACCTATTCAAACCGTTGGAAAATATACAATTGACCCATAATCTAATAATGTTTACGTCGTATTTTTATTTTCTTTCCCGGCTGGCACTTTGCTAGAGACAATATAAGGGGCAATTGCTTATTTGACCCTGTTTTGAAATGTAATTATCGATTTGACCCTACTTTTTGAACTTTGCTTATTTGACCCTCCTTTTCAAGTACGAAGCTTCCGTCTGACCCTCTTTCGCTGACTCCGTTAGGGTTCAATTTAAAAAAAAAAGAAAATGTTTCCAGAGTTCCTAATGGCGAAAATACCCTCCAAAGCCAAACCCTATTTTGACTCTCTCTCTCTCACTCGTGCGTACCTCTCTCTCACTCGTGCGTGCGTGCGGCGGCGGCGAGCTGAGGGGGCGGCGGCGGCGTCAAGCATAGCCCCGCCGGCGCCCGCTCGTTGTGCTGGAGGGCGGCGGCGGTGGCGTGTCCGGTCCGGGTCGGCGCCGATCTGTGGGGAGAGGCGGCGGCGAGCTAAGGAGGCGGCGGCGGCGTGATGTACAGCCACGCCGGCGCCCGCTCGTAAAGGTGGAGGCCGGCAGCGGCGGCGGTTTGATGGGGCACGGGGCGGCCGATCTGAGGGGACAAGGGCGGCGAGCTGTGGGGGCTGCGGCGGCGGCGGGTGCTACACGCGGTGACGGGGGGGGGGGGGGTGAGGGCGGCGGCGGCGGCGAGGTCAATGGTGTCGACGAGCCACCACGCGCGGCCGGCTCTCCTCTCCCGCCTCTCCGCCGTCGCTCGCCTCGCCCGCCTCTCTGCCGCCGCCCGCCTCTCCGCTGCCGCCCGTCTCGTCCGCCTCTCCGCCGCCGCCCGCCTCTCCGCCACCGCCTGCCTCGCCCACCTCTCCATCGCCGCTCGCCTCGCCCGCCTCGTTCGCCGCCCGCCTCTCCGCCGTCGCCCGCCTCTCCGCCGCCGCTCGCCTTGCCCGCCTCGGCCGCCGCACGCCCGCCTCTCCGCCTCGTCCACCACCGCCCGCCTGTCCGCGCCGGCCGCCCCCGCCCACCGTCGGCCGCACCGCCGTGCGCGCCGTCCGCCGCTGTCATGCCGACTACCGAGAGAGCGAGGTCGATGGCGTCGATGCTGTCCAATTTTTTTTACAAAATCTATCATAATTGCCTCAAATTTGACAATTTTTAGTCAAATCTTTCAAAATGAATCAAATTTCTCAAATTTATGCCAAATCATTCATAATTGGGGCACATTTTAGTTAATTTATTTTCACAAAATTCAATCAAATTTAAGTCAAATTTCACAAAATGATTCAAATCTGTCAAATTAATGCCAAATCTGTTACTTGAGCAAAAATTATTACAAATATTTCTACATTCTTAATATATTCACGGTATAACAAAATAGGGTTAAACAAGCAAACAAAAGGGATATAACAGGGTCAAATAAGCAAGGGCAAAATAGACTATTTACCTCAAAATTAACACCGTCACCTCACCCAAACGGAATAGGGTCAGACCGGAGCTTCGTACTCGAAAAGGAAGGTCAAATAAGCAAAGTTTAAAAAATAAGGTCAAATCGGCAATTACAGTTCAAAACAGGGTCAAATAAGCAATTGCCCCGACAATATAAAGGGGGAATTAAAACTGCATCCGGAGGAGGAACATGTACAAGTACTCTCGCGCCTAGACAATTGAATCTTGCACCTGGCGGTTCCCTGAATTTTGTCCGTCGTCGAGTCTGTCGTCGCAGCAACCGCTCGGAGCAAGTTTAATAGTATAGTCTACCACTAGCTCTAATTCATCTATAGTTAATCTAGTAGTCAATTCATACAATAGTTGCTTACTATACTATTAATATATGGTCCCACCTGTCATATACATATTGCGTCTTGGAGTCCGCGCTGCAGCTGGCTACAGATCTGTAGTCCGCTTCTCTTCTCTCTCATCTTTTATCTTATTAAAATATGTTTCACTAGTACAGATCCTTCTATCTGTGACGGGCTCTAATATGCTTAGAAATAGCGGGCCGTCACAAGGAAGTCATCTCAATCGGGCCGAAAAGTGTCCGATTGAGATATGGTCGCACAGACATGTTAGATGGGTATAAAACTTAAGCCCGTCACGGATGACACCTATCAGTGACGGGCCATAACTTTAGGCCCGATTGAGATAACATTCCATATCTCAAACGGGCCTAAAGTTGTGGCCCGTCACAGATGATTTAGGCCCGTTTGAGATAACATTCCATATCTCAAACGGGTCTCAAGTTGTGGCCCGTCACAAATGACCATCATATGTGACATGCACCAACTTGAGGCCCGTTTGAGATAACAACTAGGCCCATCACAGATGACTCATCAGTGATGGGCTATATACTTAATTTCTATCGGGCATTAACTAAAGCCCGTAACCGATGACTATTTTTCCATTTTTCATATGAAATGTTTATATTTGTAAGTTGACTATAGCAAAATAATTTTACGGGTAGTAAATAATTTCAAATGGAAAAAATATCAACAACAAAATTGTATAACTTATCAATATTTACAAGTTTTAGTTTGTTCATTTTTCAATATAACTTTTTTTTGAACAGTTTAAATTTGAATTTAAAAATATGACAACTTCAAACAACATTTTCAAATACTAAATGATTTCAATTGAAAAAGTCATCAACAACAAAGTTGAATAACTCATCAAGATCTAAAACTTTTATTTTTGTTATTTCTTCATCTGACGAAATGTTAGTAATATTATTCACAAATTTTACATATATGTGTTATAGTTTATAAAACCAGATAAGAGATATGTCAATTTTGTAAACAATGTTACTATCACTTTGTCGTATGAAGAAATGACCAAAATAAAAGTTTTAGATCTTGATGAGTTATTTAACTTTGTTGTTGATGACTTTTTCAGTTGATATCATTTAGTATTTGAAAATGTTGTTTGAAGTTGTCATATTTTTAAATTCAAATTCAAACGGTCCAAAAAATGTTATATAGAAAAATGACCAAAATAAAAGTTATAGACTTTGATGAGTTATACAAATTTGTTATTGATGACTTTTTCAGTTGAAGTCGTTCACTGATCTAAAATTCTATTTGAACTTTTCAAACTTTGAATTTTAAATTTCAAATTGTTTAAATAGAGTCAGATGGAGAAATTACCAAAATAAAAATTTTGCACCTCGATGAGTTCTACAACTTTGGTTTTGGTGACTTTTCCATTTGAAATCATTTAATAACCCCAATTCAATATCTTGGCCTAGGGCATAATAGGAATTAATAGAATACTCATACCAACATGTTACAATTACTTTTCCGGAAGCCAATCTCTAAAAAAACTTTGACGTTAAGTGTGCTTGGTCTGGAGCAATTTCGGGATAGGTGACCGACCGAGAAGTTTGAACTTCCCGCGTGGGTGCACACGAGTGAGGGCTAGCAAAAAAATAAAATTTATTTATTTATGGAATATACTCATCTGTGACGGGCATTAACTCTAGCATAAGTTAATGTGACGGGCTATAATTAATGCCCGTCACAGATGACTCATCTGTGACGGGCTATAGTTAATGCCCGTCACAGATAAGGGTCATCTGTGACGGGCGCTAGTTGTGGCCCGGTTGAGATAGGTCATCTGTGACGGGTTATAGTTTGACTGGTCGTCTGGGTCAAAGCTATCGGTGACGGGCTTTACTTAGGGCCCGATTGAGATAGAATCATCCGTGACGGCCGTTTGCCCGATTGAGATAGCTCTTCACATCAGTGATTTCTAACCTGTGACGGATGCCATGCCAATCATGGCGAGGAGGAAGTAAGTTAACGATTCGACCGCGACGACAACCATAAATGTCTGCAGCAACAAATAGAGCAAAGATATTAATTACTGCTAGATTAATTGTCTGTGTTATAGAACTACTTCCCGTCTGTTAAATTACCACTGTGAATATCTCGCAGGGCCCGCAGCGGGAGGAGCACCGCTGCTCGGGGCGTCCTCGTTGCAATGTCGCCGGCGGCGGTGGTGGCGGCGGCTCCTTTGGCAGCGGGTAACCAACGACGGCCGGCGGCGCCCCATCGCCGAATTGGATCACTGGATGGCCGACGACCACCCCGTCGTACTCGTACCCATCTCCGACCGCCGTGACACGGGCCATGGTGGCTTCCGCCGCTGCAGGCCCGCAGTACGCGTACACCGCGGTGGCCGGGGATCAGGTGCCGATATATAAGACGAACACGCGCAGGCGGGAGCTAGTGTAGGATCGCACAAGACCAAACAAACCTACCAGAGAGGGGTGAATGGTAGGGAAGACCAAAAACCCAAAAATCTTTTGCGGAATTAAAGATTACCCCAAACGAAGTCGATGACGAAGTCCAGTCGCCGCCGGTCGAACCGCCCACCTGCCGCCGGTCAAACCGCCGAAGCCTCGCCGGTCAGACCGTCCGAACACCTGCGGTCAGACCGCCACTATCCCACCGGTCAGACTGTGCACACACCTACGGTTAGACCGTCGGGACCCAGAAACACCGGTAGATGACAAACTCGAAGATGTAGATTGAAACTTATTCGACTTTATTGTATCAACTAGTGTTTACAAAGTGCACCAATAGCACTCCTCACCAAAATATTGAACTAAACTCGAAACCCTAACTTTCTCTCAACTTGTGTCTCTCTAAAACCGATACTAGGAGGCCTCACTCTCCCTCTCTATTTATACCACAAAACCCCCTACTCAAAATAGATGTATAACTCCTATTTACAATAGGACTCAATCCCTAAATTTCCTTTTTCTCCAAAACTACAGCTGCAGCCAACTCCAAGCCCTCAACCGGCTCGGACTCTGGTCTGCTGCCGCGTGAGCCGGCTGTCTTCCTGGCCGACTCGGCCTGCAGCCAACCGAGCCGCCGCTAGCTGTCACCTGCCATGCATCATGCATCGGCACCAGCAACACCATGCAACCATCGAGTCACACACATGTATAGCACACATATGCACAGTACTCCATATATGCATACCGCATGCATACGTGCAGCCCTGCTACAGTACCACGTGTACTGTGGCACATCTTTTCTCCTTCCAATTTCTTCATCAATTTCCTTCGCGAACACCAACGCTTGCACGCAACCCTCGTGAAACCCGTTGCGAAGATCTCTCCCACACAATGTCCATCCACCGTATGCCATCTCGTATCCAACTTCGTCATCCGGTATCCTTGACCGTCTAGACCCCTCAACTCCTCCCTGAGTCTAGTCCCGATCCCTACCGTTGACCGAAGTTGACCTCCAAGAATTTTGACTCTAGTCACCTTCTCACATGGTATCCTGACCGCAATAGATCTCTGCTCCTCCTAGAGTATAGTCCCGGTCCTCACCATTGACCAAGGCTGACCTCAAGTCACCTGCACACAATCAGACAAAACAACCGTTTCTGGGCACAGATATCACAACCTGACCCACATTAGTCACACACACTCACACCAACATTCACACATACTCTCAAACCAATTCTTTGATTAAATCATTTGCATAGCCAATTGTTCATCATAAATATTAATCATGACAATGATTTCACAGCTAGGGCCAGATACGACGTGCGTACACGTACGAGATCGATCGGCCTTGTGTTTGTTCATTTATATATTGACAGATGAAAGGGGGTTCTCGTGGTGCTGAACACTAGGAACGATACTCGGATTCCCCCGCCCTGTTAGGTTGCTATTGGGTCGGAATCGTGGGATCTAATAAAGGATTACAGCCCCGTTTTGTATTCTGTCAACAGTATTGTGTTGGCCCGTAGAAACAAGGAGTTCATTTGACTTCATTGAATATAGATCCAATCTACTAACTCCATTTTTAATATATGACGCTGTTGACTTTTTACATCTTATGTGATCATTCGTCTTATTTAAAAAATTTAAGGAAATATATTTCTTTTGTTGTGGCTTGATTTATCACTGGAGGAACTTTAATAGTTACTTATATTATTATGATTTTGACAAAAAAAAAGTTGAATAAAACGAATGGTCAAATGTTGTAAAAAAAATCAACGACGTAATATATTAAAAAACGGTAATTTGTATTCCTCAACTCCCTAATTATTAAAATCATTGTAATTCGACTCCTAATACAAGTATTCACAGTGGTATTTGATGACATGGTTTATTCACTTGTTCCACCTCTTCCCCTCTCTCCGCCCTATCTCTTCCTCTCCTTGCTATGGTGATGGCAGCATAGGGAGGAAGGGCCGAAGGGGGAAGAGGAAGCAGAAAGAGGATGCCATGTAACTATGTGAGTCCCTTATGATGACTCAATGAGTGGACCAGGTCTATGAGTCACATCAGCGGTAGTGAATTTTGTTAGGATTTAAATTACCCTGGTTTTTGAAAGGTTATGGGATCAAGATATATGATATTATGGTTAAGTGATACATATCATATTATAGCTGTATTTGAGGGAGTCAAAATGAGCTTATTCCTAGAAACAACGCTAATGAAAAATAGTTTTTCAACACCAAAATTTGAACCATCAGGCCTTTATCAACAAACAAATTCAGACAACTTGAAAACAAAAAATCTCTCTTTGCTCCAAAAAACTGAAGTATGCAAATTGAATTGAAAGTGTATGTGTTAAACCCCAAGCCCTGCCTTGTTTAATTCAGTTTAGGCCTAGAAAACGAATACACTATGCCTTGTTTAATTCAAATTTGAACTACAGGCCCACACTTATTTTTTGACGGAGGGAGTAATCAATTGCATGTGAGTGAACAACACATTCATAGATCGACAGATACTAGAGAACTTGGTGTGCATATAGACTTCAGTTGGAGAAATTGTTTTGGCTGCTATAGATTCTAAAAATTGTATTTTGGACATAATGTACAAGTCATGAATGACCACAAAGAAGAAGATTGACATGTAAGGATGGAAAACAAGTAGAACAGCAAAAGTGTCACTTTACATTAGTTTTCAGCAGATGGATCAGATACATGAGATGTGCACTCACTCCCGCAGGCGCGGCAGGAGGAGGAAGCAGCAGATTCTTGGCACCGGCAGCACAAAATGCGGCGGCGGCAGCTGCGGCGGAGAAGGCGATCGGAGAAGGCGATCGAAGAAGGTGGGGATTACTCTTGGAGACAAATTGCTCTCCGAATTTTGGGGGGAATTCAGGAGGCGAAGGCCGGAGAGGGAAGGGGAGAGAGGGAGATCTAAAAGAAAAAATTCGATATATATATACCCTTTTAATTTCCTGTAAACCAGTCCAGCCCAATAGGTAATAGAAAGGCCTGGTCTAGAAGGCCCAACGAAAGCTAACCTTGTCTCTTTTTTGACAACCCATCCCGTGTATTCAGATTTCAGAGTACTGAAAGCCTACGTTTTGACGAACTTCACGTTTACAAACGAAAAGTAAAACTTTTTATATATGAGTTCTTAGCGATCTAAAAACATAGGCTAAAAAATAAACTTCGATGAAAAAAAACCCTTAAAATCAGCTTCAAATTTAGAGTTAAAAATTTAAAATTCGGCTAATAAATATAAGTATAACCGAAAAGATAAGACCCTCGCAAGGACTGGGCTGCATTTTTAGCCATTCCGTACAGTAAATTCATTCGAAAAATGATTTTATGGAGAAATCACTTCATCACAAGAGTGGAATACTCCCTCAGTCCCATTTCAAGTACAACTATGTGTTTCCGCGCTCAACTTTGATCATCTGTCTTATTTGAAATTTTTTTATAATTGTATTTTTTTTATAAGATGATAAAACATAAATAGTATTTTACTCGTGACTTACGCTTTAAATTTTTTAAAAATTTTTCAAATAAGACAGACGATCAAAGTTAAACGCGAAAAAAATCATGGCTACGCTTAAAAATGGAACGAATGAAGCAAAGAGCACATGGCTGAAGCCTGAAAGCGTATTCCCTTCGCGTGAACGAAAGCGTAAAATGACCCATCGTTTTGGAAGGCCAGCAATTTCTTTCTTCTCGCCTCTGCGACGGCGCCTCCGCCATGGAGGTGTACCGGAATCTACTCCTCCTCCCCCTCCTCTTGGCCCTCGTCGCCGCGGCGGCGTCCGCCGCTGGCGACGAGCGGGCGGTACTGGAGGTATCCGGCTCGCCGGAGGGGGTGGTATGGGTGGTCCAGCTCTCGGATCTCCACTTCAGCGTCCACCACCCGGACCGCGCCTACGACTTCCGCCGATACGTCGGCCCGGCGCTCGCCATGGTCAACCCCGCGCTCGTCCTCATCACCGGAGACCTCACCGGTACGGGCGCTCCTCTCTCTCGGCCCCTTACCTTTCTGTGCCGCTTCGTTTGATGTTGTGATCCTTCCCGGGTTTTAGGGATGATCCAATCTGGTTTTAGTCGAGTAGGTGCTTGTGATGTTTAGTGGTATCATTTGTGTGTGCTAATACAAATTTTGGAGACTCTCAATTTTAGAAAATGTGTTGTATGGATGATTCCTTGATGCACTGTAATGGAGGATGCCATGGTTCTGAGAAACTTTTTTTTTTCGAGGGTGTGAAACAGTTATTTCTTGGTATAATGCGAGCTGTGGCCCTGTGGTAGAACCTAGAATTGAGCTAAATTTCTGTGGATATGTAGGTTTCATGCGGTGAGACGAAGAAATGATAATGGTGTGTGGGATGAAACTGTTAATTTTCATTCGGTAATCAATAGTTTGTGGGACTTGCCATATAGGTTATGCTGAAATGGCAATCTGAAAAATTCAATGTTTATTTCACAACTTAAGTATAATGCATTACGGACCAGTTACAACAGCAGATCTGGTCGCAAGTGGCCAATTACTGTCAGGCTGCCCACCAGTAACCTAGAAGACCACTAATTATGTTATTAATTTCACTGCTATAACAAGCTAGAGTATAGAACAAATGTAAACTTTGGCATGCACATTTTAACACCATAGGCTTTTTAGGCGCACACTGTTGGCAATTTCACTATCTTTTCTCAATGCATTATTATTTGAAGTGTGCTTTCGGAATTTACAGTTATGTAATATTAACCATGAACTATATTTACTTTCAAAGGACGACATGTGAGTGCAGAAACAGCTGATCTTCCATTTCTTGCATAGTTGTTCCTACCAATAGTAACCAGTCAGTTGTAGCTTGGTAGCAAAACTAGCACAATAACATGTGAACAAGCTGAATTAATTTTGGGAGGTGCTCATGGCACAAAAAGGATATTCCTGATGACATAAAGATTTAACTCAGATGTGAATTTATTCATTTTTCTTCAGATGGAAAAAGCAAAGATCTGCTAACTATGAAGCAAAACGAGATGGAGTGGATAGAATATAGAAGCAAGTTAAAGGATGTAATTGAAAGTAGCAAGCTTCCAAGAAGCATTTTCTATGATCTGAGAGGAAACCATGATAGCTTTGGTGTACCTTCACCTGGTGGGGACCATGATTTCTATCAGAAGTATAGTATCAATGCCATACTAAGACGACACAGCCGTGTCCAGAGCATCACTTTGGAGGTCAGTGCTTCAAGTTATGCATGATTGAATGTCTTCAACTTGTCATTTCGAGGAAAAATGCGTTCATATTATTTATACATGGTCCTGTAGTTAAACTTTTAGTGCCAAATTCTGTTTGCAATCATTTTTTTAATAACATTGACGTAATATTAATATGGTCAGATTTATGAAATTATCTGCAGAACAGTGGCCGGAAGCATCTGTTTGTTGGCTTTGATAGCACAATGGAGATTGGTCTTAGAGGACCGACAAATCTATTTGGGCATCCAACTGACAAGCAACTTATAGAATTGGATCAGTCACTTTCTCAGTGGGACACTGACTTCAACAAGGCTCAGGTGACAAAAGTCGCATTTGGGCATTTTCCAATGTCTTTCTCAACATTAACAGAGTCAGGAAAAAGTATCAAGGATGTGTTTCTTAAGCACTCATTAGCAGCATACTTGTGTGGCCATCTTCATACAAGGTTTGGGAAGAATTTGAAGCGCTACTATCATCGATCAACTGAGGGATCACCATTATCAGAACATTACTACCAATTTAACATGCACCAAGGATATGAAATCCACAGCGATAAGGAGAGTTGTTCTAAAGAGGCTGTGCATGCCGAAGAAGAGTTCTGGGAGTGGGAGATGGGTGATTGGAGAAAAAGTAGAAGTATGCGGATATTAGCAATTGATGATGGTTATGTCTCCTACACTGACATAGATTTTAGGTTAGGCTCAAAGAGTATAATTGTACTACCGACATTTCCTCTTGACTCGAGATTCATGCAGAGGGCCACTGCTTCTCGTGACTTCAAATGTCAGGTCATGGGGGCTTCAACTTTTGACACAGTGAGGGCTCTTGTATTCTCTCGACATGAGATAGTATCTGTTTCAGTAAAGATATATGACTCAAGATCAGGACATCTTGATGTAGTGTTTGACTCTGAAATGAAAAGGGTAAACGCAAATGAAACTAGAGGAGATATGTATTTAGTTCCATGGAACTGGAGAGCATTTGCAGATCCCTCTCTGAACAGATATTGGCTCCAAATTGAAGTAATGGATATAACAGGTGACGCTAGTGTCAGCCAGTTGAGGCCATTCTCTGTTAATGGCTTTGCTTCAAAAGTTAGCTGGACATGGAAGGAGTTTTTTGTGATGGGTATTCAATGGGCTTTGGTGTATCATCCTGCACTGTGGTGTGTTCTTGCTCTGATTTTCTCATTGCTTCTTGTACCACGAGCTTCAGTTTTGTTGTTTAAAGATCAATTCACATACAAATATCTGCGTCCAAATGGTAGTCAGTGGGTATCGTTGAAGTATCTAATTGGTGGTTTCATCTGGCTCTTTGTTGAGTTTTCCAGGGTGACTATTGTGTGGTCTTTGCTCTTGGTGTATATGATATATTTGTTAGTCTTCCCTTGGTTGTTTGGTCACCCTATAACTGAGGATAGTAACCTCGCATCCATGACATTTAGAGGCTGGATTCTTGGAAAATCCAATAGTGGCAGTGAAGTTCTCCATGCTGGCACTCCAGATGTCATGGTCATTGTTCTCCCTCACCTTTGTTTCGTGGTATTACCCACAATTGTGATTTTAGCTGCCATGGCTGCTGAGAGAACAGCATATCGAGAACAGTATCTTTCTCAATCAGGAAAGAAGAAAGATGATCACTACCAAAAGAGCAGGAGACAGAAGGAGCATGATAATTTTTGGAACAGTCGTTGGACACGGAAATTTCTTTTTCTTCTTTGCCTGGCAGTTCTGTGGAAACATTGGAAGGTATACACTGTTAATCCATGCTAATTTCTGTATTTGCAATTATCTCTAGTTTGAAAATAGTTCTGACATCTTTTGCATTGTGCAGCACTGCAGGGCTCTTGTGAAGGCTTATGCGATGAACCCTGTAATCCACTCGCCAGTACATTTCTTCTTCATTCCAGTGCTCATAGCGTTTGCTATCTACAAAACCTCGTCACTTTAGCTGTTCCAGAGCCTTTTCTTGTAGCATTGTTGTATTGCTGTCAAGTTTCAAGGACACTGGAAATATTTGGCGTTACGCAGGCATCCCTGTGAATCTGGTGGTAACTGTAGGACAACAGATTTGTTAGATCATTTAACTTGCGTAAAGATGCTGTTAACATCTTGCTGCACATAATTGTTAGACTGCACGGTTATTCTTCAGAACTAATAACAGTTAGAACAAGAAAAGAAAGAAAATGTCATACTGCTATGTATGTACTTATTTTCAAGAATAAATTTGCTCCTTTTTTTTAATCTTCTGCTTGGCCTCCACTTACATATATCCTTATGAAGAACAAAATAACTGTGGTGGTGTACTCTTTTCTATTTTCTGTAATTCCATCTGAGAAATGTGTTTTATAGTTCGCATGATCATGGTCTCGTTGCTTTCCTGCCTCGAGAAATGACTAGCCGTGTGATCATTCTGCACACGAGTTCATGTGCACGCTGAGAAAATAGGATCCCTTTTAGGCCTTGTTCGCTAGCTGTGGGAAATAATCCAAAGGAAAACCAACCCACGTGGGGTTTGGGTTGTCCCCGCTCCCCACACTCAATCCCTTCCCCCCAATCCCCTTGTTCCCCCAATCTCCTGGCCTCTATTCCCCTGTTTGCTAGCTGGGATTTCCCTGTTGGCTAGCAGTTTGGAGTAGAAGGTGGGATTACAGGTGAGATTAGAAGGGATTACTACCATTCAAATTCAGCGTGAGAAACTATCATGGAAAATTCGGATAAAATTTAAAAAGCTGGAAGGTCACGAAAGTCAAAATAATTCAGAAATGACAAGATAAAAAACGATCATGAAAATGGAACAGAAATTCAACGTGCAAAATAATTCTAAAAAGCGTAAAGATAGAAAATCATGGATTTACCACAGATGGATTCTAAAAATAGTCGAGAATATTAAAAATTATAATTTTGGATAGATTAAATTCTACAAGCAGTAAACATCCAATTGCCATTGTGCAAAGCAAGCTACAAAATAGGTTCTTTGAACGTAATATATCTCTATCCGATCAAACTAAATAATATATCTATGTCTGATCAAGCAAGTGTTAATCCTGTAGAAAAAAAAGGTTCCTGCAACCATCACAGCTACATGAATTAAGAAGCAGTTAGGAAAAATTGTCCTTCATCCATCGCATTTCACAATTCAAGCGGTCTCTATGAACTATCTTGCAAAAGATTCCTTCCAATGGGCACAACTAGCAAATGGGCCATGGAACTACACAACCAAAAAGAAACAAGTCTTAGACACTAGACAATGGTGATTGCTAATATGTAAACTAAACAACAGGTAAAATGAACTTGAATCAAATCAGATAAATATGCAGAAGATGGTTACTTGTACTCAAGTTTTTGTTGAGCACAAGCAATGATACAATTACACATCAAACACACTCACATACACACACAGAGAGAATCACTCTAGCACCTGCTTTATTACCATGTCACAATTAGCTTAGATTTGTGGTAGGCAGACATAGCACATTATACCTGTAGCATAGCACTGCATATATGTAGCAGCAGTAGAGAGAGATGATCACACTGCCAGTTAATCAGTTACAGCAAGCACACATGATAGATCGATAGATAAATAGATAGATAGATTGATTTTAGGAAGAAGTAAGGTGGTAGGCAAGGAATGTAAGAGGATGAATGGATATAGGTAGATGTAGATCGATGTAGATATGTACTAGTAGTAGTGGTGCGCGCGCACACACACTAGCATGGCTGCATGACAGAAGAGAGGGGGCATGCTGACAAGAATCAAAATTATAAAAGTTCAGAGGCATACTAACAAGAATTATGTCAAAATTATGCTAACTTCAGCCTAAACCTGACATAAATATAACATGAAAATCATGTCAAAATTATAAAAGTATGAACGGGTACCTGGAAAGACAATATCCTTTTGGTCCAAAGGTCATTCTTACATGGTCTGCATTGTTACACAATCGCATCATAAACAAAGTGCAACGTGGCTAAAAAAATGCACCTATTTAAGTGTAGAAGAATTGAATTTCAGAATTGCACAAATTAAGATTATGCTAGTAACAATAGTAATTCAAACTTACCAGCATCGTTCTTAACCATATAAGACGAGTCATAGGCCCTGCACTCATGAAGATCTCCCTATTCTGCGCGTCCTTGAATACTCCAAAAGATTTGACCTTTTCTTCATTTGAGAGCTCCTCCATCGATTCCACAACAGTGATGCAGTTCCTTATTGAGCAATCATCAACCTTGCTTGCCTCCTCCCTCTTCTTTGCTTCCTCCTCCTCAGATTGTCTTTTTCTCATCTCCAAGTAACTTTCCATCATATCAACAACATCATTCCTCTTATTCCTCTTCGGTGTCTTTTCTACTCTCTCTCTCTCTCAGTAGATTTGGTCTTCTTGACATTCTTTTCTCCATTAGCTCTTGAGGTGATAGTAATATGGCTTCCCTGATTTTCATGCTCCACTGCATTATCTTCATCTTGAACTTCAGTGGTCTCATCATCATCAGCAACCCAATTTACATCAGGAAAAGAGTCACTTCTCTCAAGATATTCATTCACTTGTGTGAGAGTAGCATGTTGGAATGGCTCAATAGAAGTGAAATTCATGTTGCCCTCAGCAGTTTGGCCTATAAAAAAGGTTGCAATTCACTACCCATACAAAAGTTTCAGTATATACCTATTAGGGAAAATACTAGATCCGAGAAGGGAGATGCATAACTAATAGAACATTGATCATACTGCACCAAAAAAGAATGTGTTCACTAGCAAACAGAATCAGCCATTTAAAGCCTCAATCTTAGTAAACATCATGAGCAACCAAATAATTTGGCATTGATTTCCAATATGCGGATATGAGAAATGTCAATATGCATAACTAATCAGCTATGTTACTGTTGTTTCCTAAGAGGACTACATCATACAAAAGGAACATAGTACAGGTGCAGGATATGTGAAGAAGCCAAAGAAAGAAGGTAGCAGTGCCAAACAACGAGAGAAGAAAACAAATAACAAGGTTGGCTGCACTGAACGTAAGCACAAGGAATCAAAGAATTATGGCATCAAGTAAATTTACCATCATAAAGTTCACCCAAGGATTCAAAGAGAGGAAAAGATTTGTTTTTGCTGAACTTCCTTACTTTCTCATTTGACTACACAAGATACAAAAACAGATAATTATGGCATGAATACAAATAATAGTGATTTGAATGAGGACAAAACAATTATGCTCAAAATATCATACTGTAATTATGTTTGCCCAAACAGCATCATCGGCAACAATCATGCACCGTTGATTATCCCAAGAAGCTCCACTCTGTTTCCTTGCCTCCTTAAGCAACCTATAATCTCGTTTTAACTCCTTCTCCTTATCTTGGATCTGTTGCTTATTCATGGTGACATAGGGATGTCTGTCACGAAATTCTTTGACGACCTTGTTCCATGCTTCACTTGTCCACCCGTTTTGGCACCGGTAATGTGGGTTATTGTGCTCATGAAGTAAATCAACTAAAGCCTTTTCTGGTCCCGGGTTCCATGAAGCTCTTGATTGTTGAGCTATTAGACAAAATTAGATTATAGTAAGTAAAATTTGTAATCATTAATATGAAAGGAAAATACTTCACAAAAAAACAAGTTAGATACTACCTTTTGGAGAAACCTTCTTCTTCTGTATGCTACAGCTCTTTGGTGATGCCTTCTTTTGTAGATGCCTTTGTTGCTGCTGCAATAGGCTTGCTTTCGGAGATAGTCTTCCAAACATCATAACTATATTGCAATATTTTATTGAATGAGAAAATACAAACTACGTTGCTTACTATTAATTTGTCCATATCATAAATGTTGATTGCATAAATAAATACAAATAATGCAAAACCAAAATATTATCTATACTATTCTTGCTAGTTACGAACATAATCTTCCCACATCTTCTTAGCAATCATATCTCTAATATTATTCCCACTGATCATTTGATTGCTAAGAGATGGCACATCATTTCGGTATTCACTGTCACCTTCTGGTAGATCGACAAAATTAGTAGGTTCTATATTATCAGGTTGGTTGTCCAACCAGCCCTCATCACCATTAAGCAACCGGATCATGTTGTGGAACACCGCAGCAGCTGCTGGAATCCGCACTTGGTTCTTTATCCGATGGAAAGTGCCTACTTTCAGGATGGGAAATCGCTTCTTTAGAACCCCTAGAGCTCTCTCTACATGGTTTCTCAGAATGGCATGGCGATGATTGAATAACTCCTTGTAGTCTCTAGGTCTACGATGACCACGTCCAAACTCCTTTAGATGGTACCGAACACCACGATAAGGAGTAATGAACTATGGTGTGTTGGCATAACCACCATCTACTAGAAAAAATTTACCATTTGGGACTTGAAAGCCACTATTCATTGCTGATCTAAGGACCCTAGCATCGGTTGCAGACCCCTCCCAACCACATGAGATAAAAGTGAAATTTAGGTCGAAATCACAAGCAACTATCACATTTTGGCTCAAAGTCCCTTTTCTGTTCCTATAAGGAGCTGCCTTCTCTCCATCTATAGTTATAGGAATGTGAGTGCCATCAATAGCCCCTATGCAATTCTGCAGCAAAAAGGGAAGAAAAGGACAGAATATGCATGAGTTATTTAATTGGAAAAGGAATAGATATTCATTTCTAGTTTGAGTGCCAGATTCACCTTGAAGTAAGGAAAGAAGCGAGGATTTGTTCTAATCTTCCAATGCGTTTGGTCGGCATGAGGAAGCTTGAGAAATCTATAGGTGAGAGCTGGGATTATCTTGAAAATAGACTTAATATGCCGATGAAGTGTAGACCCACTATGCTTGAATTCATACTGTAGATCTTGAAAGCTTGCATTGTGAGCGAGCATGAACATAAATATCCCAAGCTTCTCCTCAATCCTCAAGCCTCTACTATCCTTTAACAACTTTTCCTCTCTAAGATAATTCGCTATTGTCTTGAAAACATGAGGCTCCATGCGGAATGCAACTTTACAATCCATTACATGTCCTTCAAGGATTTCTTGAAGCCGCTCTTTACCGGATAGTCTTGAGATATGTCTAGGTATTTTCTCACTATTTGTCATACCGCACAGCATATACATCGCAGGAAAAACAAAAAGCATCATATCATCGTCCTCTTCTCTCCTCCTTTTAATTTCATCCGCCATTCTCGAACTGATTTTATCACTAAAAGAGATATAGAATTACTATACTTTAAACTATGTGTGAGAACATAATAATATGCATATGTATTACAATATTATTAAACATGAAATTAGAGGCATTCAAGGTGGCTACATGCATAAATACTTTTAATACTTTCAGCAAATAAACAGTCTGCAATGGAAGGAGGGGGATCAATAATGTGTTCAGATTTTGACTAGTTCCAGAAGTACTTTGTGTACTTAGTTTTGTTTAAACCTCAGAGATAGCAACTTTAATAAAGTGAGGATATCCTTCTAGGGTAGGATGTTTACTTGAAAATAACAGCCTCCTGTTCACTAGCAAAAAAAAACTGAGACCATCTGCCACCTGAGCAAGATCACATAACATTGTACCTACAATCTCTCTCTCTCTCCAACTTCAAATTACTTCTGTTACTCTAGTAAATATGCAGGGGCAAGATTAAATGCTTCATATCAGGCAAATGTAAGTACAACTGTATTTAGTTTTTTCTCAAATACCTTGAGTAATATCAACTCCTTCAGCTTTACTTTTGCCAACCCCACACGCCTGTGCCTCTCCTGAAATTTAATTCAGCACAACAGATTATATTTTTGTCATTCAATAGCAATTTATATAGCTTTGTATGGTATGACCTCTAGTAATATATCTGAACACCCAGTTTCCTGAAACTAGTTGTGAACATAGTAGCAGTTCAGAATAGATAAATATGCTAAATTGATTGCTAAGAGTAAAATAGGTATTCGAACAAAAGATGGACAGCTACATTTCTCAAGTTTTAACAAGGGCATTTTGCTAAACAAAAAGCCATGGAAAAAATTACCAAAACTAGAATGTATACTACAGTGTCCACCTGACCACCTCATAGCATGACTTTAAAAATTTTTGTATCTTCTTGCTCATTCAATTGGCATATAGTATTGGTCGTTCAATCTGAAGCTCAAATGACCTTGGCCAAAAGCAAAGTGATGCATTCTAGACAGCAACAACAGAGTGCACTAGTTTTTATTTTTTAGGTGTGCTCCCACTGCATCTACAATAATTCCTGGAGAATTAACAAACCAGGTTTCTCCCTCACAAAAAAAAGAAAAGAAAGAAGAGAGCCCATGTTCAGAAATATAGGATATGCCAATTCAAATATATATTTCCTTGATTACAGAGCAACTGATAGGCAAGATTTGCGCACACACACAGAGATGTGCATGGAATTTTCTGTGGTTTCAGGTTCTACTACTACAAACCACATCACCCCTCCTTCTAAGCAGAACATGACTGATACTTCAATCCATACAGCCACTCAATACATCAACTAGCAACAAATTCATCCACTAGATAAGTCACAAAATCTTTTCTGAGTGGGAAAAGAGGAGATCAAGAATCAGACCTGCTTCTTGGTGTCCGGGCTGTTGCCCTCGACCTTGCCCTCTCCCGCAACCGGTGAATCCGAAGCGAGGAAGGAGAGATGGCGAGCGCCGGCGACTGGCTGGGATGGAGAGCGGGAAGGAGAGCGGTGGCGGCGGCTGAAGCGGGATGGAGACCGGCGGCGGCTGAGGACGGGATGGAGACCGGTGGCGGCTGAAGCTGGATGGAGATCGTCGGCGACCGAGGGCGGGATGGAGAGCGGCAGCGGCTGGAGATATGCTGCTCCTGGATCTCCACCCTAGAGCCGCCTCCCGGACCTCGCGTCGCCTCCCGGACCTCACGCCGCCTCCAAACCCTAGCGCAGCGAGGAGTCGAGGAGGCCGAGCGCTGCGGCTGGCTTGGAAAAAAAAATCGTCTCCGAGGCGATTTTTCTCTCCCCGTGGGATTGGTGTGGATTGGGTGGAGAATTACTCCTACCCCGGCCCAGGCGAACGCATACATGGGCCACGGAAGAAAATTCGACCCGGCCGGGATGGCACACGGGGATGTTGGCCCATTCCCCCCCAAACCCAGCCTAAAAGAACAAGGCCTTAGTTTTTTGCGGTATCCTAAGGTGGATGGCAAACGAGAAAATATCGGAGAGGAGTCACAAATACATGGTTGCTTTGTTTTCCTCTCGAGTATCTCCAGAAATGACTAGCCGTGTGAGCATTCCGGAGATGAGTATTCACGTGCATCTTGAGAAACACAAGGGGACCTACACGCGCGACGCATCCTGGTACGGCCCATCCGTCCCGCTTGCAAGTCTCCCATCCTTGAACCGGCGCTGACCGCGCCGCGCGGTGCGTACTAGTAGCGTGTTAGCGGCCGCGCGCGTGCGTCATGTTACTCCACTGATCCGCTCCCCATGTGGCGACTGCCTGCCTGCCCCGCGCTGCCCGATCGCGTCACGTACGCGCGAGCGGTCTCGATCTCGTCCTGGGCGCGGTGTGCGCGCTCTCCTCTGCCCAGTGTCCATCAACGTACCCCGCGGCGCTCCTTGGCGTAAACGTAAGACCCTGACGCGGTACGTGCCGGTTGTCCACGCGGGCGGCCCCCCAACAACCCCAGTGCCTGACTCCCTGTGCTGCGAATCGGGCCGGACCATCCATGTTTCGAAGCGATCAGCGCCATATGCATGGACGAGAATACGAGTCGTGCCAGGTTGCATCCATGATCCATCCATCCATACGCCCATGCACTGCACCGTTCGTACTCCCAGTGGAAACCGAAGGCCCATAACAACTTACAGCCGACGAAAGCGAAGGCACAACACATGGGACATGGCTGTGTTTGCGTCCGCCATGTTCCCAACCTATCTTCCTCGTTTTCCGCGCGTATTTTTTAAACTATTAAACGATACGTTTTTATTAAAAAAGCTTATATATAAAAATTGCTTAAAAAATTAAATTAATATATATATATATATATATATTTTTAAAAAACTAATACTTAATTAATTACGTGTTAATATACCGCTCCGTTTTCCGTGTAAAACGGATTAGTTACCATCACAAGAATCCGAACACAGCCGTACGGAGCCCAAACACCACGGTGGACTCCATGACCTGTCGACGTGCGTCGAGTCATATTGACGACTAGGCACCTCGAGAATCCTGCTTTTTTTCTTTCCCTGAGCTATGGCACGGGAGATCACACACGCGTACTACTTTCGAGACAAATCCCACGACGCTTTCGCAAAAACAGCTCTACTAGCGTATTTCGTCTGTCGTCTGTGAGGTGAAATCGTGAAGACGCCAGTGTTCTCTCCCTGCATTCTTGGCTGGCTGCCAATGATTGATCGTCGCTTTAATTTCTGCCTACTGCTCCGCTAGCCAAGTCGTGTACAAAGGCAGCTTTACCCCTCATCAGCTGCACTATGCAGAATCCTAGCCGTGGATAGCAAACGTTAAAGCACATCATATATGCGTACCGTGTCGCGAGCCGCGCCCCGCTACGATCTTTTGGGCACCCGATTGGTAAAAAAATCTCGTGGCAGAAACAACGTGCCACGAGCACTCGACTCGTGTCATCGCCTGCCCATGGCCCATCCGGACGAACTGAAACAGCAAAAGGCCCAAGCGCTCGCTCGTCTCGGTTCGGTCCCAAAAACGACGGGAACGGGAGCGAGAGAGAGAGAGAACCAGATGCGCTCATGCTGCTGCAATGGTTTGTACGCGGCAGCGGCATGGTCGTCGTGGTCTCGTATGGACCCGTGTGTGTCGCGATTTCGCATAGCGAATCGATCTCCGAAAGCTATTTGCACGGCCCCGGTGGATAAGAATCGATCATCTGGGGCCACCGGCGACGGCAACAGTGGTGTCCGACCGCACAGTGAGAGCTCAAGAAGAACAAACCTTCTTTACAACTTTCCTTTCTCTTCTCATTACTGTTTTGATTGATTGTTTGCTGTTATTAATCATTCATGTGACAGAGACAGTTCCGGTTGGTTTTTTTATGCGAGCTGCTTTCTGCTTTGGTTGCCTTGTGATTAAACCAACGGTGCGTTAGCTGTCTGAGGTGATCTATGAGCGAATGAAGGGGCTGAATAACCAACGGAGCGGTAGCTGTCTGAAGTGATCTATGAGCGAATCAAGGAGCTGGAGAATGTCAAGTTTGATTTGAACATTAATATGATACTATTATTTTAGCTAATTGCTGATCTGCATTTCTATTTTGCTTCCTAGGTAAAAGAGCAACCAGAAGTATTATTTACTGTGGTTTTGTATACACTTTGACAAAAAAAGAAAGCAGGGAGAAAGGGCAAGAAAATGATTGTAGGAACTGAATTATCAGTTTAAATCGTTACCTGAAAGCCCAGTTCGTAAACAGTACATGGGTTTTCAGTCATCAAAACAGCAATCTATCTATCTATCTATTATATTATTAAAACAGCTTTAAAAGGAGGAATCACGTTCGCTATGGGAGCTAGAAATTCCCACATTAATCGGAGAAAAAGAAAAAAAAGAAAAATGTGGGTCCAAGTAGAATTACAATTTAAAAATAGCTGAAATTCGGAATTAAAAATAAGTAATATTGGAAGAAGTTTCCAAATAAGAACCCAATACGAGATTAATCAAAACTCAAAATAAAAATAAAATAAAATCCAAAATTAGAAAAGGAAAGGAGAGTACAAGTAGAAATACAATTTAAAAACAGCTGACATTCGGAATTAAAAATAAGGAATATTAAAATAAATTTCCATATAAGAACCCAATATGAGATTAATCAAAATTCGAAATAAAAATAAAATAAAATCCAAAATTAGAAAAGGAAATGAGAGTCCAAGTAGGAATACAATTTAAAAATAGCTGAAATTCGGAATTAAAAATAATAAATATTAAAAGTAGAGTCCATATAAGAACCCAATACGAGATTAATTAAAATTCGGAATAAAAATAAATAAATCCGAAATTAGCATAAGAAAATAAAAAGAAGAGTTTAAGTAGGAATACAATTTAAAAATAGCTGAAATTCGAAATTAAAAATAAGCAATATTGAAAGAAGAATGCATATAAGAACCCAATACGAGATTAATTAAAATTTAGAATAAAAATAAAATAATATCTAAAATTAGAAAAACTAAAAGAGAGTTCAAGTAGGAATACAATTTTGAAACAACTGAAATTGAGAATAAAAAATAAAAACATTAAAATAACACAATACAATATTAACTAATTCGAAAAAAAAAGAGAGTCTAAGTAGAAGTACAATTTAAAAATAGCTGAAATTCGGAATTAAAAATAAGTAATATTGGAAGAAGTTTCCATATAAGAACCCAATCGAGATTAATCAAAACTCGAAATAAAAATAAAATAAAATCCAAAATTAGAAAAGTAAAGGAGAGTCCAAGTAAAAATACAATTTAAAAATAGCTGAAATTCGGAATTAAAAATAAGGAATATTGAAATAAATTTCCATATAAGAACCCAATACGAGATTAATCAAAATTCGAAATAAAAATAAAATAAAATCTAAAATTAGAAAAGAAAATGAGAGTCCAAGTATGAATACAATTTAAAAATAGCTGAAATTCGGAATTAAAAATAAGGAATATTAAAAGAAGAGTCCATATAATAACCCAATACGAGATTAATTAAAATTTGGAATAAAAATAAATAAATCCGAAATTAGCAAAAGAAAATAAAACAAGAGTTCAAGAAGGAATACAATTTAAAAATAGCTAAAATTCGGAATTAAAAATAAGCAATATTGACAGAAGAATCCATATAAGAACCCAATACCAGATTAATTAAAATTTAGAATAAAAATAAAATAATATATAAAATTAGAAAAACTAAAAGAGAGTTCAAGTGAAACAACTGAAATTGAAAGTAAAAAATAAAAACATTAAAATAACACAATACGATATTAACTATTTTTTTTAAAAAATTTGAAATTAGAAAAAGAAAAAAAGATTTCAATTAGTAATACAATTTATAAATAACTAAAATTTGTGATAAAAATAAAGATTATTGAAAGAAAAGACCATCTAAAACATATAATGAGATAAATTAAGTAACATGCCTATAAAGGAGTAGAGTGGTGGCGGTTGATATGAGATATAAAACACCAAATAGAATCCTAATGACGATTAAAAGGAGGGACGTCAGGCAGGCCGTGAAGCAAACGAGTAAGGCGGTTGCCGGGACTTCTAGAAAGTAAAAAAAAAAAAACAAACCCCATTGATAATCATATTCAATTTTTAAAATCTCAATGACAATAAAAAGGAGAAGCAGCGGGCGGGGTGTATAAGAGTATAGTCGCAGAGCCGCCGACGGTTGACGGGACTTCTAGAAAATAAAAAATAAATTCCAACGATAGTTATGTTCGATTTTTAGAATCACAATGACAATAAAGAGTTGGCGACGGACGGGCTGTAGAGGGGCATAGTGGCATCGTTTGATGGGACTTCTAAAAATTATAAAAAATGAAACTACAAGTCCAATTTTTAAAGGTTTGGAACTTCTACAAAAATAAAAAAACCAATGATAATCATATTCGATTTTAAAATCCAATGACATTAAAGAAGGGAGGCAGCGGGCGAGTCGTAGAGGAGGGGGGCTGCTGCTGCGCGCGTACGCGCCAGCAATTTAGCTGGCGCGCGCGTCAGTGGGACCCCGCGGCCTTTTCTTTCGTTCTTTTCCTTTCTTTTTTCTGTTCGTATATTTTTTCCCAGTTTTGACGCGCGCGTTCTTTTTTTTTCCGTTTCTTTCCTTTTTTTTAATCACCTCTTTACAAATACAGAATTGAAAGTTTTTAATTTTGGTTTGAAAGATTTCAAATCTTGACTTGAAAGTTTTCAAATCTAAGTTGAAAGTTTTCAAATATGGGTTGAAAGTTTTCAAATT